ATATAAAATAACCCATTTTACACAAAATTCAGCAGTCTAGATATATAATATCTACATCCTACAAAATGGTGAGCCTGTTGACCACATGGGGGCGCCACATTAACAGGAATCACCATCACATGCATAGCCATGTCTCCGCTCCCAAGAGGGAAAACCTATTAAACGCATGTGAGAGCATACATAAGCCCATTTCTTCTGCACACTCTGTTTAAAAGTTGCTCTTTGCATCACTCATACAAGCTTACTTTCCAAATGAAGATTTGCTATTTTTCCACTATGTCAGACTCACCACAAGTATAATTACCATTATTGTGATGATCCACCCCGAAAAAGAACATTCTCCACTATACCTTTAACTTTCAAAGTAGATACTAAATGTCATATGTTACTGTAGCCCACTCAGAAAGTGTTATTAAGACCTTGAAAGAACTCAGTACATTTATCCCATTAAAACATGTTATTTAAGTGGTGTAACATTAAGCTAATCTTTTATTTATCCCATAATGTGGAACTAAAAGCAACAGGCAAGTGCACACAATACATACAAAATTACATAAGGATTGAAAGATATGATATAAGACGTGGATTCGGAAAAAGACACTATTAGCATTACATTATGGGTAATATTTATATTCAGTGGTAATAATAAAATAAAAATCACAGAAACACTGAAAGGTCAACAGTTCCATGATAAATCAAGTTTAATGTAAAAAGTATCGGTATCAACATCGGCGACACTGAGACTGTATTTACTTGATATCGCATCGATTGAGAATTCCCAGTATCTCCCACCTCTAGTGGGAGACAGTTCAGTAGATATCAGCAGCTTATAGTGAGGTGCGCTCTACAGTCTGGAAAATACGATTTTTTTGTAAGTGCTTGTATTTAGCCAAGGTAGGTGAACTGTTGCCCAGGGTGCCATGTTGGGTAGGATTTTGCCCTGCTGATAAACAGTTCTGCATCTTTTTTATCTTTGTGACAGCGAAGGAAACATAGAGGAGACTCTTGAAATTTTGGAGAAGGCAGCAGATATCTGCAGAAGCAACGGACTGCAGGGGGAGCTGGCAGACATCTGTCTGACTCAGGGCACCCTCTACAGCAAAATGGTACACATATAACTAGCACACAGATTACTGATCTACCTTTTGTTAAAAAAGGATTTCATCGTTCTCCTTCTGCAGGATCAGCTTACGAAGGGGGTTGAATTCTTCCACCAGGGTTACAAAGCTGCAGTTAACACAGGAGACAAACCTCTAGTGCAGAAAGCAAAGGTGAGTCTTCTTTAACCTCCCGCCTAATGGCAGCTGTTTGTTTAATCTGTGAGCTGATCTCATGAGAGATCCAGTTTTTTTCCTCCATAGATCCGTTTTTTTTACGTTTTATCCCCAGAAAAGTTTTGATATCAGACAAAAATAATAAAAACAGCAGAATCACAAAGATTTTATTTACTAAGATGAAGAAACTATCCAAACTATCCAATTAGAAATGTGTTTAAATGTACGAGCCTGATAATAGACGACCATATTTACTTTAGAATCAAGACATTTGATCAGAACCTGTCTGACAACATGAAGTAGGCTCAAAGATCTTAAAACCCAACACACATCAGGTGTTTCTCTTCTAGACCTTAATATCCTAATCAGGTTTGTTTAAACCAGGCTTTGAAGGGATTCTAAACTTCATTTCTAACATCATTTCTAGTAAAAAAAAACAAAAATAAAGCTCATTTGGATCCATTTTCATAGTGTTTTTTTTTTTTTTTTTTTTATCTTGCAAGGGTATAAACACGAATCTGACTTGTGTGTTTAAACGTTAAGGTTTAGACCTCTTTTCTTTAGGCACAATTTGTTAGTAATGGTGGCAGTTCAATATGACGACTGAGTGATTTCAGGTGTTTGGTGAAAGGCGGGCGTGGTGATGTTGGCGCCCGTCCACAAGCTCCATTTATCTGTGGAGAGCGCGCCCTTGTAGACTTTTAAGTTTACACAAAGATTTCACATGAAAAAAAAAAATAAGGCACTCCCACATGCTGGATTTAGGTTTTTTCTGAAGCCAAACACCCACACAGATTTTCACATTTGATTTGTTAAAACTAAAGATGAGACTGAATTATAGTCAGGGGAATTAAAGCTTGATATTTGAAGCCTTGGATGCTTAACAAGCAACAGGAAAACTCTGAATTGTCTGTGAGTTTGTGGTTAAATACAAAGAGGGTGCTGTAAAGGGTTTCATGTAGCTATGAGGAAAGATTTTAGGTGTTTTAGCTTCCAGTTCAAACAGGAAGCAGATGTGCTTTATATTCTGATCACCAGGAAGTCAAAACAGGGTACAGATATTTTTTTTCTCATTCAGGACTTAAAAGTTTTTGTTTCTGTCGTCCCTTTCAGGACTTAATCGGTCAAGCCTGTGCAAACATTTATATGAAAAAAAATAGCGCTGAGCTGCAATCGCCCTCCAGCCAGGCATCTGTGACGCGGCTGGTGAAATCTAAGGAGACCAGAGGATTCAAGGACTTGTTTCCAGACTTGGTGGATTAAAGTCCTGCTGCCTTTATGTGGGAAAGTTCAGCAGTTGGTTTCTTGGATGAAGACAAAGCAGGAAAATCTACTTTTCATTGCTTCTTTCCTCTGATCTTGTCCAACTCATGGTAATTTAAATGCCAATATTTTTATTGCATGCGCATCGAAAAAGGATTTAAAGCTATTTTGCATTTATCAGCAGATTAATTGTCTGAAGTTATTTATGCAACACAATTTCATATATCAACACATTTTCAGTTTCTGCAGTTCTAATAGATTTACATTGAATCAGAGCTTTATAATAGTTTTTAGATCCAAAAGGCTTTTAATATTTTCTGTCAACTAATATGTGCCATATGTGAATAAAACAGCATTATAAATAAATGTTTATTCTGTAGTGTTTGTGATGACAATGTTTTGTTTAAATCGATGTGATCTAGTTCAAAATATTGTCTTTATATGGCTTTCTTTCTGTTTAGATTTCAATCTCCTTTTTCATTGTAATAATGTAGAAATTACTCTGGATTTTATTTTTTGTTGGTTTGATTGTTAAGGCTGTTACTGTATTCTATAATTATCCAGTTATATCTGTTTTATAAATCATATATTAGCATTATAAACCATGAATGAAAAAAAAGTTTATTTTAATTTCACTTCATGATCCTATTTAGATTTATAGAATCATTTTATTTTACATACATTTTAACAAATATTAATATTAATTGATTTTTCTTTTTTCTGCTCTTATAAGTCAAATGAAAATATATTCTTAGATTATGTTGCAACAAAATCCTTTCATTTAATTGCTTTTTTTATTGTTTATTTTATTTTCATTAATTTTGCCCAATAAATAATACAGTAATCTGTTATTAGAAATATTTATAGTAAACACGTTTACGTAATTTATATTATTAAAACTATACTGTGATTGTTTTTTTGTTAACTGGTGTCTCAACTTTAATTAAAACAAAATTTGATTTCAAATAAAGGTTAAAAAAAAGAACTGAATGACAAATAGGCTATTATTTTCGTTTAATTTGACCAATGAGCCATTTATATCATGACAAAGTTAGTCATTAGTTCTTTAAGTCAATTTAAAAGTACCTTTTTATTTTTTGATGTTTGTCACTGTTTTGAGCGTGTGTTTTACATCTACTACGGTAACCTGCCTACCTTCGCCTTTACTTTGGTCGTTACGGTCCCGCCGCGGCCCACGTGACCGGAAGAGGATCCTCTCGCTACGCTGCTGTTTTCAGACCAGAACTCCCCGAAGGAAAAAAAAAGCAGCGGCAGGTTATAGAAACCAGAGCCCGGCTGCAGCGAGAGGAGGGCCGGCGGGGTGGCCGGAGCGGAGGCTGAAACATGGGCCTCCTGGCGAGGCTGCGGAAAGAGTGGTTCATCATCGGGATAGTGCTGGTCATCCTGTCGGCCAAACTGCAGCCCAGTGTCGGTGTTAAAGGAGGTGAGGCTCCGAGTTCAGACATTAGAACTTTGGGATAAGTCTGCAGTTTTTAACTTTAGATATTAATAACTTTGAAAGAACGAAGAGCTGAATGTAAAATTAATTAACTCGGAGTTGTTTCCTCGTATCTAGGATCATAGTGACACGTTGCATTCAGCAGGAGTGTCAACACACCTGAAAAAAAACAACTACTGGCTTTAAAATAGAAAATCCTCCAAAGGTACTGAAAGTTAATCTGAAGAGAGTTTGTTTTATTTATTTATTGTGCCACATAGATTATCTCAGCAACAATAAAACAGCCTGATAAGGATCCTAATCTGTATTTTAGCTTCACCTGTAGATAAAATAACCTGCTGCTGTGTTGCCTTCAGGTGCTCATCGAAAATCCTGATTTCGATCTAATAAAGTATTTATGTTCACACTTTCCAACCATTGATGCCTGTCGCAATCTCATAAAGATTAATTAATAATAAAAAACATTATTTGAGATTTTTATTATACATTAATTAGCATGTACAATCAAAAGTATTATATCATTTACAAGTTGAAAATATTTTGCTCAGATAAATGATAAAGGAGCCTTATTATAACAACAAAGAAATATTAAAAATAGTTTTTCGTTTTTTTCTATAAATAAATAAATTAAATTAATTAATTTTTGCTGATTCCTTTAAATAAAATCCACATAAAACAGTAAATTGTGCCCATCTTTGGAAAGCTTTTTAGCAATAATGACTCTAAAAGTCTACAGATTGTTAAAGAGATGAAAATCAGCTCTATGTCTGCTGGGTTTATTAAAGCGCTCCATCTAAAATGGTTTGTGTGAAAACAGATTATAGTCCGGGATGTAGGATCAACTGAGCTGCATCTATGAGGACCAACTCTCTATACTTAACCAGTTATCTGACATTGTTGTTCAGGTTTTAAGAGGGAAAAATATGCATTGTAATGCTTTTTACAAAGTAGCTCATATATAATCTTATTTTATGTTAATCTAAGGGCCTATTTTAGCCTTATAGTTCAGGTTGATCAGAGGTTACTTATATCCTTACTAGTATGAACTAGTCAATGTTTTTCTTCCTTTCAGGTCCATTAAAGCCAGAGATAACGATTGCGTACTTTGCCGTTTCCCTCATCTTCTTCAACAGCGGCCTGTCTCTGAAAACAGAGGTGAGAACCAGCGGTGATGCCTTCAGGTGCGGCTCAGACGCCTCCCCCCCCATGTCTAACTCTCTTTCTCTCTCTCTGCGTGTCTGCGTTAGGAGCTGAGGAGCGCGCTGCTTCATGTCCGCCTCCACCTCTTCGTCCAGTCCTTCACGCTGGTCTTCTTCCCTCTGGCCATCTGGCTGCTGCTCCAGTTCCTGGCGCTGACCGCCATCGACCAGTGGCTGCTCAAAGGGTACAGTGTGTTTGTGAATGCTGCTCCCTGTTGGGCTCTGAGCCTGACTGTACCTGAGGATCCCACACAAAGAGCCACAGTAACGGTCCTTACAGTGGGCCCTCTGTGTGTTGGGTTGTTGTTTTAGGAGCCAGAATGTAGAGGTGAGGGCCAAACCTTGAGGATCACGTTTAGGTTGAAGCTCAGTGGGTTTTCTTTGGGGCCTCAGTGGTGAAACGGTCAGTCTGATGCTGCAGTTTTAAGATGGATTTCTTGTTTTTCCACCATCTTCTTCAGAGATTACTAAATAGATGATAAAACAGATCCACAGAAACCTTTGGGCTAATTTAGATTGGATTGAGAACAACTCTGAACATGAAATTCATTCTTCCCTTAGCTGCTATGTTGAGTTTTGTTCGGAGCTTTGAGCCGTTACACCGAGGCTTTAAAGGAATAGTACACCCAAAACATGATTAGCCTTCATTTTCTACTCACCCCCATGCCGAACAACACTCTGGAGTACTTTTTTGATATCTCAAATGCATCTGGAGATCTGGGAGGCTTCTTGCTGTCTGCTGACATTCAAATAATGGAGGTCTATGGCGCCCGAGGCAGAAAGGTCCATAAAAGTCCACAAAAACGTGTCAATATTCCTCCATACTGCTCGTCCAATGTATTCCAAGTGTCCTGAGTGGGTAGCGTCCAGAATTTACTCGAAACGAAGTCATTTAGAATGTTTTTAGAGCATAAACAGTAGTGTATAGGATTTCCTAAAAGCGCGCACATGCGCGTTCACGACGCTACGGAAGCCGGCAGACCAAACCAGCGCATTCAGCTCGGCAAAGAACTCATGCTCTTCCTCAACACTGAAGTCCTCAGACATTTTTCTTTCGTTGTTTCTTTCTTTGCACAGGTAAACAGCACATTTCTTCTTCTACGCTTGCATTATCGGCAGAGCAGAAGCTGAATGCGCACTTTCATCTGGTTTGGTCTGCCGCGGTTTCCGTAGAGTCGTGAACGTGCGGGCGCGCGCTTTCAGGAAATCCTATACACTACTGTTTATGCTCTAAAAACATTCTAAATGACTTCGTTTCGAGTAAATTCTGGATGCTACCCACTCAGGACACTTGGAATACATTGGACGAGCAGTATGGAGGAATATTGACACGTTTTTTGTGGACTTTTATGGACCTTTCTGCCTCGGGCGCCATAGACCTCCATTATTTGAATGTCAGCAGACAGCAAGAAGCCTCCCAGATCTCCAGATGCATTTGAGATATCAAAAAAGTACTCCAGAGTGTTGTTCAGCATGGGGGTGAGTAGAAAATGAAGGCTAATCATGTTTTGGGTGTACTATTCCTTTAATTATCCCCTTTCTGAGGTGACTTGCTTGTCAACTAGCAATAAAAATATAACGCGTTAAGTGTTTGCAGCCAGTGGTTTTACACAGTCAGCTAGTTTATCAGTTAAATGTACACATCCAAGAACAAAAGAATGAACTGATGTCGCTCAGAGCCATGGAATATATATATATATATATGGCAAACTTATTAATCTTAATTTTTTATTTTTTTTTCAATAAGGAAAAATAAGGAATAAGATGCATCTTTTAAGTTAACAACAGTAGAAGTCTGGTTGTTTTCTACTTCCGAGTTTCAGCACCTGAATGCAGCTTTCATTAGGAGGACCTAACAGTCTCCATTTTCACCAGCATCATCCTGAGAACCTTCAGCTCTTTAGCAGATGATCTTCTTTGTTCCTCTTCCTGTTCCTCAGTTCACCCTCCTCGTCTTTCCGTTGTTGCCTAGGTTACAGACGGTGAGCTGCATGCCCCCTCCGGTGTCGTCCGCCGTTATTCTCACCAAAGCCGTCGGAGGCAACGAGGTGACCCTCACGGTTTGACCCCAGAGATGAGCGCTGGGTGAGTCTGCCTGTCGCTTCCCCCCGCCTCCCCTCTGCTGACCGATTGCTCTCTGTGTCTCCAGGCCGCTGCCATCTTCAACTCTGCGTTCGGGAGCTTCCTGGTGAGGAAAGGATGGGCTGTGGGTGGGGCCGGCAGCAGATAAGGTTTAACGGTTTCTGTTCTTTGCTGCAGGGGATCGTGGTGACCCCGCTGCTGCTGCTGCTCTTTGTAAGTCACACAGGAAGAAGGTGTTCTGGCTCTGTGTACACAGCTGATGGAGACTTTATTTATTGCAGGCAAATTATGATTTTAAAGTGGTAAATCTTTTTTTTAAATCACAGCGTTTATCCTTTGCATTTATTGTTAATTTCATTAAACCCAGGAAGTTCTTAAATCCAGCTCTTGCTGCTGAAAATAATTAACAATTTTCCGTCGATTTTTATCCAGCTCAGACTAAACAAGTTAATAATTTGTTTAATTTGCAAAGTTTTGGATCTGCGATAACTCAAGGAAAATCAGCCTTTTTTCATTATTTGATTTCAATATTTGGATAAATCTAGGGGTATCCCGATGCAACTTGTTCATTTGTGATACAACAACAATATTAGGGCTTTAAGTATTGATTGATATTCACAGGATGGGATATTAACATTAATCATACACCTTTTGTCATTCTTTCTGTAGCATTGAATATCCAAAAAGACTTGATCAAGTGATCTTATTCAAAACCGAAAACAAATGTCAACAACAATACTTCAA